CGCCTCAAAGCCAACGCTGATTGGACGTTCGTTTGGTGAACGGCTCCAAATTTTCTTCAACGGAGAGTCTCCAGACTGATCTGCGAGTGAAACCTTGAAAGCTCGCGAGATCAGGATGGTCTCACGAGGCTAGTCGTAAGCATCCCAAATTTCCCCACTTTCCTTGATGGACCCTTGGCTTGTCCGCTATAATTCCTTTTTAAACATCTAAAATATTCTTTCTGTAATGATTTGTGGACAATAAGATCTAAAGAGAAGCGTTATCAAACCCTGTAATTCAGTGAAAGGGTGGAGTCAGGGGGAAAAAAAATGCACACCCAGGAGACCAGTGGCTGGAAGGTAGAGGGGATTCGGCTGGCGTTTGACTGGGAAGGGCCATTTTGAATGGCTGCTACCGTAGTTTGAAAAAGTAAATAACTGCTTTTTCTGTTAGAAATGCAGCATATTAAAATCAGTTTGTTTTCCCCTCTTCAGCTCTGACCAGTAATTGGCTAGTCGAATACTCAGGAGTACGTTAAGAAAATGTATTACTCCCCAGAATAAGTATAAATATAAGCAAAAAAATTGATTAGTTTAGGAGTTGGAAAAATTCAGAAATCTAAATGTAAAACTTTGTATTTTAACAAAAGATAAGGAGCAGTTTAATCGTGGTAAAAAATCTAAAAAAAAAAAAGTACAGATGGTTACCTTTTCCATTGAGTAAACCCATATTTACATTACTGTTATGGGTCAGGAAAAGGACATTAGGGTAAACAGTAGCTGTAAGTGGGTAAGAATAGACTTCTACCTACTAAACATCCAGCAGTTCCTGTTTGAAAGACTTGATAAGCTACTTGATAAGGTAAAGACAAACACAGCTCATTACTGCCATCACTACCTTTTAGAAAGTGTTATCAATATTTGATTCTGACACCAGAGTAAATAAGAAACATCTGACTTTCCCCTCTAGTAAAACCAAAGCAGGCTGAGTTCTTCAATGGGCAACTGAACAATTTAAACATCTTAAACTGGAAAACATAATTATGGCGTATCCTCACCCACATTTTAATGCTAATGCTACGTTCAGACCGCACGCAGTAAGAGCAGCTAAAACTAGCGTTGAACCAATGCAATGTTTTGGCCCCGATACCGATAACCGATACCTGGCTGTGCAGTATCGGCCCAAACCGATACCATCTGTTTGAAATTGATGTGTGTGTATATCTGAAGAACTGCAGACTACTTGGATGTAAAAGAATTGCCATCATGGTTTGTCAAAGCTGCTGCCTACCTTTGTGAAGGAGGAAAAATATTAATATAAATAATCCGATACCGATATGGATGCAACACCAGCAAAAACACGCTGGATGCTTCATTTCTGATGCTTGTACAGGTTTAGTTCTGACACACATCTGAAGCATCTTTGCTGCTCTAGCTTTGCGGTGGTAAAGTGGCTCTGATGTGCGTTGGGCGGAGCTACCCTATCCTTTCTCTGCCTGGAACAATGGCAGCTATAT